GCCATCCATTCCTTCCATTTTCTCAAATCCCCACCAGTTTTAAATGAGCAGTGTCCAAGTGTGGGGGGGGCAGGGGGTAGAGGAGGAAGCTGCAGACAGTGGCTAAATGGGAGAGGGGTGGGGAGGGGGAATGAGGGGGGAATGTGGGGAGTGAGGAGGGATAAGCAAAGGGGGAGAATGGGAGATGAAGAGGGGAAAGAGGGAGAGGTGGGGAAGGAGGAGGGTGAGAGAGAGGGGGAAATCAGGGGAAGGAGTGGAGGATTGGCAGGGGAGGGTGCAGGGGGGAGAGTGTGTGTGTCTGTATATGTGAGAATGTGTGGTTGTAAATGTATGTATGTATGTATGTATGTGTGTGTGTGTACTCACCTAGTTGTACTCACCTAGTTGAGGTTGCAGGGGTCGAGTCCGAGCTCCTGGCCCCGCCTCTTCACTGGTCGCTACTAGGTCACTCTCCCTGAACCATGAGCTGTGTGTGTGTGTGTGTGTGTGTGTGTGTGTGTGTGTGGTGTGTGTGTGTGTGTGTGTGTGTGTGTGTGTGTGTGTGTGTGTATGAGTGTGTGTGTGTGAGTGTGTGTGTGTGAGTGTGTGTGGTGTGTGTGTGTGTGTGTGTGTGTGTGTGTGTGTGTGTGTGTGTATGAGTGTGTGTATGAGTGTGTGTATGAGTGTGTGTATGAGTGTGTGTATGAGTGTGTGTATGAGTGTGTGTATGAGTGTGTGTATGAGTGTGTGTATGAGTGTGTGTATGAGTGTGTGTATGAGTGTGTGTATGAGTGTGTGTATGAGTGTGTGTATGAGTGTGTGTATGAGTGTGTGTATGAGTGTGTGTATGAGTGTGTGTATGAGTGAGTATGAGTGTGAATGTAAAGTTCACAGTGCTCCCTTACCTGGCCACACCCTCCTGTGACCTGACCCACACCTACCTGCTATTTTGCTTCTACTGCTACCTAGACTTATAGAATCCTGTCTCGCCTTGTTCTATAAATTATCAATTGCTATTCCTTATTGATTACTTGATAGCCTATTCTTTATCGTACTAGGAGAGTTGGACCGTTCACAATCAGCTTGGCGGTTAATTGAAACCAAAACCCACACCCAGCAATCACACATAGGTGAATACTTACGAAGCAGCCTGTAGATTGTCCTGCTCGATGTGATCTGGCGTAGATCCGCTTCCATTTCTTCTTGATATATAATGTACCCTATTCACTGTATTTCTTTCACTGGTCATACATTTGTTTCACTTTATCTTTCTTGGGTGACACGTGGCAACGTCGCGTGGAGCACACTAGGCCTGCCCGCTGTGAATGCGCCACCAAGTATCACTTTCTAGTTCAACTAATGAATTGTGGCTCTCCCCACACTGATGTCGCTCTGGGCAAATTGTAAATTGCTTCAAAGATTGTTCACTACCCTGACACACTTAGCGACCCTTGCAGTACACTTGGGTAGCCCAAGTGTGTGAGTGTGTGTTTGTGTTTTAGGTACCATTTTGTCCTAAGAACGTGTCAATTAGACACTAGGCCTGTTGTATATGCGTGCCTGTATATGTATGTGTGTGTGTGTCTGTGTGTGTTCATTCATGTGAGAGATTTTAACCACCCAACTGATTTTCAAAAAGGCCAAGAAAGTTGTATCAACCAGGTCCATGGTTGAGAGAAATATAATTGAATCATTTCATAAAAAATAGGATTGATTTTAATATGATTATTTAGGAGTGGACTTGTTAGCAGGTGAGTCTATGAAAGACTAGGTGAATCATATAACTGATGAGGTGAAAAAGGTGAGTGAAGCACTGAGGAGTCCGTGGAGACAAAGAATGTTATCCATGGAAGTAAAGAGGGGAACATATGAGAGTATAGTTATACCAATACTCTAATATAAATAAATAAATAAATAAATAAATTTTATTTGGACATGATACATAGTTGTACAAAGGAATGTAGTAGTTGAGTGTACATGCCAAAAGCCTCCTGAATGCAGAGCATTTTGGGCACACTTAAAATTATCTTAAGATTACAGTTCAAATGGCCATTAGATGAGTTACAACTAGTACAATAGCAGTTCATATAGTCATTAGTTGGGTTGAGTGTGAAGCATGGGTGGTGAATGTTGCAACATGGAGAAAGCTGAAGGAAGTGGAGTGAGGGCAATGTGCAGTGTGAATATAATGCAGAGAATCCATAGGAAGAGATGTGGGGTTACTAAAAGTATTATCCAGAGGGCTGAGGAGGGGTTGTTGAGGCGGTTCAGACATTTAGAGAGCATGGAACAAAACAGAATAACTTGGAGGGTATATAAATCTGTAGTGGAAGTGTTTCTTCTTTATTTTGAGTCACCCTACCTCTCAGTACTCACTTAACTGTACTCACCTAATTGTGGTTGCAGGGGTTGAGACTCAGCTCCTGACCCCGCCTCTTCACCTAACGCTACTAGGTCCTCTCTCTCCCTGCTCCATGAGCTTTATCATACCTCATCTTAAAGCTATGTATGGTTCCTGCCTCTACTACATCACTCGCCAGACTGTTCCACTTCCTGACTACTCTATGGCTGGTTTTTATGAGCAGTGCAACCCCTCCTCCCCTCTGCTTCTTCTATCTTTCCTCAGGATCTGATATCCCAGTGGGAAGACTGCGTCTGTTATTGCCTCAGTGAGTTTCATTTCTGTGACTGCTATGATGTCTGGGGACTTCTCATTGATTCTTTCATGCCACTCCTCATATTTATTTGCTATTCCATCTGTGTTCGTGTACCAAGCCTTCAGCTTCTTATCTATCACTGTGGTCCTGGGAGAATACTGGGGTTGGGGGAGCAGGAGCCCTGAAGGGGGCCTATGGGGAGTTGCAGTGTGGGTGGGGTTTGTGATGGGGGTGGGGGCAGAGTGCCCATAGGGGGCTGCTGTAGGGGTGGGGTGTTTGTGATGTGGGGGTGGGGGCAGAGGGAACAGTGTGTGGGTTTTGGTTTAGATTGTTCAGTTGCATTGGGGTTGTCATGGTTGGAGTCCTTCTGCAGGTGTTTCTGGAGGGTGTGTTTGCCCTTCCACCTGAGTCTGGGTTTTGCTTTCCTTCATCATTCCATCTCATTCCTCCTTTCATCTTTGTACCCTCTCTTTCAGTATCATCCTTTCTTCTTGTGTTCTGTCCCGATCGAGGTACACTCTACGGTACTCCGGTTTGTCCCTCAATCATGCTTTCTCCTGCAGGATCCTGGTTCGAGCTGATTCTGCCTTGAAAATTACTCTGACAGGCCGTTTCCTTCTACTCACAAACCACCCAATTCTCCGAAAATTTGTCACCTGGGTCATGTCGCCCTCACCTATTGCTTTCATGACACCTTCAATCACTTTTTTCTTCCCCTGCTTTCTTTCATCATAGGTTTCCCCTTCGGCTTCCTGGAGCCCGTAGACAAACACTGACCTCTCCCTTTCCTCCTCCCACTGTGTCTCCCTTTGCATCCTCTGAGGTGTTTTAGTTCTTTCAGTGAGAGACAACCAGTGTGAAGAAACCAATAAAGCCCAAAAAAAGCAATTTATAAAGAATAATAATGTCAGTACCACCCAGGAAGGTACTACCGTCCTGCCAAGTGAGTGTAAAGTGGAAACCTGTAATTGTTTGAAATGATGGTAGGATAATCTGTGTGTAATCTTTTTGAAGAGTTCTTAACATACCTATACTTTGTATTGCCTTTTATAAGCTTTCGTATTACCTCAAATACTACCTCCATTGTGTAATCAAATATTCACATGGATGTAATCAAATACTCACAAACACAATGACAGGTGAACGTGTTCACCTGTCATTGCCATAGTCATGCTTATGCCTCATTCAACAAGCACAGTGTATAACACTTTGGCTTTTTTGGGTTATCCTAGGTAATTTACACTGTATGATAACTGTACTTATGTGTACCTGAGCCTCAATAAACTTACTTAGTCTTTGATTCTGGTTCATGAATGGCTCTTTCTATATAGATAGACAAAGATACAGAGACAGAGACAGACAGAGGTAGGCAGCCAGCCAAAGTTAGCCAGCCAGCCAGCCAAACATGTATTACACATTGCAGAATCGTCTCTCTCTCTCTACTTAGGGCATAGGTGATAGGACAATCTGGCAAGATGACACTACCAGTTGCATCAAAATTCTGAGAATATGGCACAAATATTGCACATGGGTTATTATCTAGGCTTTTGATATTTCCTCAACCACTTGTGGAACATCCATCTCAGAGTCACTAAACTCAGGGTCAACATCACTTTCCTCCTCAAAGGGGAGTGTTAATATGACATGGCATTAGTGAATCCCTGGTGTCTGTCATGCTGTTTGCTCCAGCTGGCAGTCAATTGAACTGGTGCTCCCACAACATACTAAGTGGTCCCAGATTATTTTTAATACTGTGTACACTGAGTGTTAAGACCCATTCTATACTGCCTAGGCCTATCAGGCCTGTAGTGCCAAATTTGAAGGCAGGAAAAATAAAATGTCGATCTATGTTGGGGCACTAGCATTAAGAACATGAATCAACGTTAGGACAGTTAAGAGGTTAACAATATTTAGTAACCATTACATACACTTGCAACATCTGCCACATTGTTCCCCATCCACCCTATCACATTCCATTTCTAAATCCAAAAATGCATGAAAAGTTCCTTACCTTTATTTAGGTACTGTTCATTTATATTCTTCAATGTAAACACTTGGACTCTACACACCCTACCTTTCCTAAAGCCTCCTTGTTCATCTGCAATCTTACCCTCTGTCTTGTTCATAATTCTTTCAATAATAACTCTACCATACACTTTACCAGGTATACTCAACAGGCTTATTCCTATAATTCTTACACTTTTATCCCTTTTTCCCATATACAAAGGAACTATCATATGCATGCTGTCTGCCAATTGCTTGGTTTCTTTCCCCTTTCATGAATATACTGAACAATGCTTAAGCATTGTACTGAAGATTTTAAATTTCAATTGAGTCTCGTGTTTCATTAATTCCCATACTCACAATAATAGCTTAATATATCCCAGTTGGTATAGGTGACAGAGGTACCATCAGACCACTGGTAGGTGCCTTCATGACCACTATCTGTCATACCAATCCACCAATAGGTGTTATAATAATCTGTAATAAAGGAATTATGTATAAGGAAAACAAAGATCAATATTTACTGAAAAACTTATTGCTGAGTATAACATTTCAAAGCTTCATAAATAAACTTTGTGATCTATCCATATATTATGTTTATTTTTACTGAGTAAAACTATTATCATTATTATTATTACTTTTCACTATTATCCAGTCACTTCTTGAAAATTTGGTCCTAAAATCCAAAACTGTATCTCTCTATAACAATGAATTATTTTTATAAATTACATCTTTGTGTTTGGTAAGCAACAGTCTGCACTGACCATCTGCATTATTACCATGTGACTGACACCTTAATAAGCTCTGATCATGTTACCTACAGGGGTAAATATGAGGTCATACCCCATACTCACTCTGCAGCTTCAACAGGGAATTTTACAGAAAGAGTAAGACCTCATAAACAGACTCGACCCAGTTAGAACCTAGCATTCACCAGTGTACAACAGTCTCAGGTCTTGTAGCTTCCATCCCCAAGGAAGGCTGGAAGACACTGAATCCTTATTTCTGAACCTATAGAAGTTCTTTGTTGGACTGGGTGAAGCTAAATGAATGGTCACCATTACAGACAGCAATGAATATCCACTGCATTGTCACCAGTCTTCAGAGCCATTGATGCCAAATTCCCAGAAGGCAAACATAAGGCATTTCAGCAAGAAGCAGTGGATGCCACTGGAGGCATTCTGTATCATATGTAATGTTCCCACTGTGGTAGGCCTGCTAGTGGACAACAGAAATTCACTGGACCAGGACATGGTGGTGAGTGCAGCAGTGGTTGACCGTGAGTATCAACAAGTAAGGAACGGAGTCAGGGTAGGGAATTGCCTTGATGGTTAAGCCAAGGACAAGCTGATGACCTATGTATGAGAGAAAGTATATGTGCATGGTAATCCCAATTGCTGCAGCACCAGGTAACAGCCAGTCTGCATATAGGCAACCAGGAAGTAGAGTCTATACTACACAGAGCCCAACAGGCAGTGTTCTGGCCAGAATCAAAAGCTGATCTGCAGTACCACAGTTGTTGTGCAAAACTTGCAATCTACATGTTCCCTGCCAGCATCAGGAATTACTGCTCCTACATCCACCCCAGAATACTCATTCCAACAGCGAGTGGTAGACCTGTTTCAACTTGAAGACCAGGTATATATAGCCTACATAGATAGGTTAGGAGGCAGTGTCACACCTGCCCAGTGGTGCTCTCATCTTGAAGCTGAGGGGCTACTTTGCCAGGTAAGGAAGTCTATGGATGGAAATACCAAGCTCTCTAGTGCTGAAATGCATGAAATTTTCAAGCAGTGGGGTATCATCTTCAGGCTCTCATCCACCCACTACAGTCAATCCAACAGGAGGATGCAGTTCATGTAACCAAGAGGATGATTGGTGACAGTAGTGGACAAGAAGGCAGCCTGCTCACTGACAGTTTCCAAGGCTCTCCTTCAGTACCTCAACACACCCCTGCAAGACATACACAAGTCACCTGCTCAGCTGACCACTGGAAGACTGCTACATAGCTCTGTGTCCATGGCCAGGCAGTACCTCTGGGTGGATCAGCACTGGAGAGGGACACTGCATCAGAGGAAGGTGGAGATGGCAGAGGCCCCAAAGGTCAAAGAGACATACACGAAAATGTTTATATGTCCCACTCTTGGTAGAAGATGATGTGAAAATGCAAGATCCCACACAAAGCTAAGGATCATGACATGTGTGGTTGTTGAAACCAGGAAGATCTGACAGCATATGGTCAGGTTAGATGGGATTGGCCAGCTGTTACTAAAGAACTGACATTATCTTATGCAAACATGTGCATCCAGGCCTACTACTTCCCTGGAAGGGCTCTACAAAAGGGGGTCGCAGGCATGGAAAAGTCTTCACAGCTGATGGATGACAGCCCAATAATAACTACACCAACCAGGAGAGAACAGCAGAGGAAAGGAAAGCTAACCATATTCCAAGGCTATATATGAATGCTAGTTACCATTCTGTATTTTGTTTCCCATAGTTTATTGCTTGGTTAAAATAAAGTATACCATTGTTGAATTTATCACCATAAGGTAGCATGATATAATGGCAGGCTCTAAGCAACACCTCTGGGCCTGGCCAGTGGCAGTCTGCCGTAGTCACTCGTAACCATAATTGATATCTCAATAAACTCTGCCTATGTTACCTGCTTATTTTTTTATCTATTTTCTCACACACAGAGGCTCTCACTTTTGCCAGTTTCTTTTATATAACCATATACACATAAAAGAATTGAGGAACACTGCAGCAGGCCTACTGGTTCATACTAGGCAGGTCCTTCACATGCATGGCAATATTAATAACCTAATAATTTATAATGCTAATTTAATATTGCATATGTGATTTCTATTGTATTTTTCAAATGTAATGTTATAAGGATCAGAAAGTTTCATCAGGAGGAAAAGAGACATGTTGAGAGACAATCAGAAATAAATACTTACAATCAGAATTGACTTGGGACACGATATAGTCATTCTCTTCAGCACTGTGAATGGAGGCGAGGTCCCCACCTTTGCTTTGACAGTCTGCTCGGGCACTGCTGAAGCTTACCCAGTTATATGAGTCAGATGCCCAATAACAGTAGTTGTCGAAGTTGAACCAACCCTCCTCACAGCCCACCGTGTGTGCTGAGAACAAGGCAAAAACAGGTAGGATATCAACGGTGCACTTCTGATGATAATGAAGAAAAAATGTGCAATACAGAACATGATAAAGCTCTTACTACTTGAACAACTGTTATGCAATACAGATCATCCCAACCTTACAAACAAATTACATTCCTGGTTTTTAACTTGAAAGCAAGTTGTCTGTATATTATTATTATTAATTTTTTTTTCAACAAGTCGGTCATCTCCCTCCAAGGCAGGGTGGCTCAAAAAGAAAGAAAATCCCCAAAAAGAAAATACTTTCATTATCATTCAACACTTTCACCTCACTCATACATAATCACTGTTTTTGCAGAGGTCCCCAAAATACAACAGTCTCAAAGCATATACGTATAAAGATACACAACATATCCCTCCAAACTGCCAATATCCCAAATGCCTCCTTTAAAGTGCAGGCATTGTGCTTCCCATTTCCAGGACTCAAGTCTGGCTATATAAAAATAACCGGTTTCCCTGAATCCCTTCACTAAATATCACCCTGCTCACACTCCAACAGCTCATCAGGTCCCAAATACCATTCGTCTCCATTCACTCCTAACACTCTCACACACACTTGCTGGAAGACCAAGCCCCTTGCCCACAAAACCTCCTTTACCCCCTCCCTCCAACCTTTATGAGGAGGTCCCCTACCCCGCCTTCCTTTCCCTACAGATTTATACGCTCTCCATGTCATTCTACTTTGATCCATTCTCTCTAAATGATCAAACCACCTCAACAACCCCTGTTCAGCCCTTTTGACTAATACTTTTATTAACTCCACACCTGTGGCTCGTACATTGGATTGCATGCAGCCAGCAGTAACAGCCTGGTTAATCAGGCTCTGAACCACCATGAGGCATGGTCACAGACCAGGCCGTAGGGGCGTTGACCTCTGGAACTCTCTCCAGGTAAACTCCAGGTAATTTCCACACTCTGAATTCTCTGCATAATATTTGCACCACACATTGTCCTTAGACAGGACATCTCCACTGCCTCCAACCGTGTCCTCACTGCAGCATTTACAACCCAAGCTTCACACCCATATAAGAGTGTTAGTACCACTATACTTTCTTACATTCCCTTCTTTGCCTCCATAGATAAAGTTTTTTGTCTCCACATATGCCTCAACGCACCACTCACCTTTTTTCCTTCATCAATTCTATGATTAACCTCATCCTTCACAAATCCATCCGTTGACACATCAACTCCCAAATATCTGAAAACATTCACTTCTTCCATACTCCTTCTCTCCAATTTGATATCCAATTTTTCCTTATCTAAATCATTTGATACCCTCATCACCTTACTCTTTTCTATGATCACTTTCAACTTTCTACCTCTACACACACTCCCAAACTCGTCCACTAACCTTTGCAACTTTTCTTTAGAATCTCCCATAAGCACAGTATCATCAGCAAAAAGTAACTGTGTCAATTCTCATTTTGTATTTGATTCCCCATAATTTAATCCCACCCCTCTTCCAAACACCCTGGCATTTACTTCTTTTACAATCCCATCTATAAATATATTAAACAACCATGGTGACATTACACATCCCTGTCTAAGACCTACTTTTACCAGGAAGTAGTCTCCCTCTCTTCTACACACCCTAACCTGAGCCTCACTATCCTCATAAAAACTCTTTACAGCATTTAGTAACTTACTACCTATTCCATATACTTGCAACATCTGCCACGTTGCTCCCCTATCCACCCTATCATATGCCTTTTCTAAATCCATAAATGCAATGAAAATTTCCCTACCTTTATCTAAATACTGTTCACATATATGCTTCAATGTAAAGACTTGATCTACACATCCCCTACCCACTCTAAAACCTCCTTGCTCATCCGCAATCCTACATTCTGTCTTACCTCTAATTCTTTCAATAATAACCCTACCGTATACTTTTCCTGGTATACTCAGTAAACTTATTCCTCTATAAATTTTACAATCTCTTTTGTCCCCCTTCCCTTTATATAAAGGAACTATACATGCTCTCTGCCAATCCCTAGGTACCGTCCCCTCTTTCATACATTTATTAAACAAAAATACCAACCACTCCAACACTGTATCTCCCACTGCTTTTAACATTCTATTATGATCCCATCAGTTCCCTTTCATTCTATGTAATATCTCATGCACCTCCCCCACACTCACATCCTGCTCTTCTTCACTCCTAAAAGATGGTATACCTCCCTGGGCAGTGCATGAAATTACCGCTTCCCTTTCTTCATCAACATTTAAAAGTTCCTCAAAATATTCATGCCATCTGCTCAATACCTCCCTCTCCTAACTCCCCTGCTCTGATTTTAACTGACAAATCCATTCATTCCCTAGGCTTTCTTAACTTGTTTATCTCACTCCAAATTTTTTCTTATTTTTCATCAAAATTTCTTGACAGTGCCTCTCCTACTCTATCATCTGCTCTCCTTTTGCACTCTCTTCACCTTTCTTTTACTCTCCATATACTCTTCTTATAACACTTCTGCTTTGTAAAAACCTCTCACAAGCTACCTTTTTCTCTTTTATCACACACTTTACTTCATCATTCCACCAATCACTCCTCTTCCCTCCTGCAACCACCCTCCTGTAGCCACAAACTTCTGCCCCACATTCTAATACTGCATTTTTAAAACTATTCCAACCCTCTTCAACTCCCCACTACTCATACTTGCACTAGCCCACCTTTCTGCCAATAATTGCTTATATCTCACCCAAACTTCCACCTCCCTTAGTTTATACACTTTCACCTCTCTCTTACTTCTTGTTGCCATTTTCCTTTTGTCCCATCTACCTATTACTCTAACTGTAGATACAACTAAATAATGATCCGATATATCAGTTGCCCCTCTATAAACATGTTCATCCTGAAGCCTACCCATCAACCTTTCATCCACCAATACATAATCTAACAAACTACTTCCATTACGTGCTATATCATACCTTGTATATTTATTTATCCTCTTTTTCATAAAATATGTATTACTTATTACCAAACCTCTTTCTACACATAGCTCAATTAAAGACTCCCCATTTTCATTTACCCCTGACACCCCAAATTTACCTACTACTCCCTCCACAACATTTTTACCCACTTTAGCATTGAAATCCCCAACTACAAGTACTCTCACACTTGGTTCAAAACTCCCCACACACTCACTGAACATTTCCCAAAACCTCTCTCTCTCTCTTCTCTACACTTCTCTCTTCTCCAGGTGCATATACGCTTACTATAACCCACTTCTCGCATCCAACCTTTATTTTACTCCACATAATCCTTGAATTAATACATTTATACTCCCTCTTTTCCTGCCATAGCTTATCCTTCAACATTATTGCTACTCATTCTTTAGCTCTAACTCTATTCGAAACCCCTGACCTAATCCCATTTATGTCTTCCCACTGAAACTCTTCCACCCCCTTCAGCTTTGTTTCACTTAAAGCCAGGACAGCCAGCTTCTTCTCATTCATAACATCCACAATCATCTCTTTCTTATCATTCCCATAACATCCACGCACCTTCAAACATCCCACTTTGACAATTTTCTTCTTCTTTTTAGTAGGCTATACAGGGAAAGGGGTTACTAGTCCATTGTTCCCGGCATTCTAGCTGACTTTTACAACACGCATGGCTTACGGAGGAAAGATTCTTATTCCACTTCCCCATGGATATAAAAGGAAAAGTAATAAGAACAAGAACTTTCTTTCTTTCAACACACCGGCCATATCCCACCAAGGCGGGGTGGCCCAAAAGAAAAAACGAAAGTTTCTCCTTTCACAGTTAGTAATATATACAGGAGAAGGGGTTACTAGCCCCTTGCTCCTGGCATTTTAGTCACCTCTTACAACACGCATGGCTTACGGAGGAAGAATTCTGTTCCACTTCCCCATGGAGATAAGAGGAAATAAACAAGAACAAGAACTGGTAAGAAAATAGAAGAAAACCCAGAGGGGTGTGTATATATATGCTTGTACATGTATGTGTAGTGTGACCTAAGTGTAAGTAGAAGTAGCAAGACGTACCTGCAATCTTGCATGTTTATGAGACAGACAAAAGACACCAGCAATCCTACCATCATGTAAAACAATTACAGGCTCTTGTTTCACACTCACTTGACAGGACAGTAGTACCTCCCTGGGTGGTTGCTGTCTACCAACGTATTATAATTATTAATATGATTATTATCATGCTAATTATTTTTTTTTTTCAATGAACCAGCCATATTCCACCAAGGCAGGGTGACCTAAAGAGAAAAATGAAAGTTTTTCTTTAGATTTAGCAATTAATATAGATGGGGTTACTAGCTCCTTGCTCCTGACATTTTAGTCGCCTCTTAGGACATGCATGGCTTACAGAGGAAGAATTCTTTTCCACTTTCCCATGGAGAACAGAGGAAATGAAGAAGAATATGAACTATTAAGACCATAGAAGAAACCCCAGATGGGTGTATAAATACATATGCATGTGTAGTGCTACCTAAGTGTAAGTAGAAGTAGCAAGATATGCCTGTTATCCCACATGTTTATGAGACAGAAAAAGGACACAAGCAATCCTACCATTATGTAAAACAATTAAAGATTTCCATTTCACACTCACTTGGCAGGATGGTAGTACCTCCCTGGGTGGTTGCTGTCTACCAACCTACTACCTAGAATTATTATTATTATCCAGTTTAATTTAGTCAAAGAAAAAACTAAGCTAAAGAGTGCTTCATCAACATCTAGGGCTAGGTACTTCCTCCATGAAAGGAGTCCGAATGGAAAGTGACAGTGCAAAGACGAATGTGCTTCACGTATTATATAAATCCAAGTCATAATGAGTGACTCTCAATTAATGAACAGAGGAATGAACAAGGACTTTAACCATGGTCCATGCATCACACTGTAAGCTTTATTGTTAAGTGGTTAAAGTGTCAGGCCAGCTATATGCATGGACAATGGTTCAAGTCCCATCCATTCACATTTATTCATGTTTCATA